TGAATCCGATGGCAGCCAGGACCCAGCTGCCCAAGTCCCTTGGCCTGGGACTCACGCGAAGATGGTCTCCTCCCGTCTCTTCTTGGTGAGGATGGTGCCTGGCTTGTGCTGGGCATCTGGGTGGTTGGCCAGCTCCGGGGGGCAGGAGGACACGGGGCTCTCCAGGATGGCTTGCTTTAGGTCATAGAAGACTGTGGAGTCCTCCTTGGTCAGGAAGGTGATGGCCATGCCACTCTCGATACGGTGGATGTAATCTGCAGAGAAACACCAGGATCAGACAGCGCACTGAAATGCAGCCACTTCTGGGGTGGGGCATGGCAGCTGCACAACAGCAGCTTAGCTAAGTGCTTGGGGGCGGGGAGTTTCAGGAAGACAGAACCGGGTCACCCAGGCTGGAATTCCGGCCAGATGTCAGGATTAATCAGTTGCCCTGAGATCTAACGACCCTCTGGTTTGCCTCCTCCGAAAGCTGGAGAATGTGCAGACAGGAAGTGAAGTCGGGAAGGAGGTGGGGCAATGGGCCTCTACAGAGGAAACATCCCTCTGCAACCCAGAGACGCGGTCCCCGTCAGCCTGCAGCAGCGGAGGGCCCCTCTGGTGGGCTGGTCCTGGGGTCAGCACCGAGCGAGGGGAAAGCCCCCACGCAGCCCTGCACCCCACCACTCCCTGTGTGTCCCTGTGTCCCCCCAAGGCCGGGACTCACCCTCAATGTTCTTGGCCATGTCGTAGTTCACCACCATGGAGACGTCCTGGATGTCGATACCACGGCCAGCCACGTCCGTGGCCACCAGGATGTCCTTCGCGCCGGCCTTCAGGTTGGAGAGGGCGAACTCTCGCTGCTCCTGGCCTTTGCCGCCGTGCAGGGTGCAGGCGTTGTACTGCGTGGGGGTGACAGGGAGACTTACCACAGGGCCGGGCAGGCCGCCCCACAGCCCGGCACAGAGCCAGCGGCAGTCCCTGCTGTTAGGGGCCTGGGAATTCACCCGCAGGCTCCAGCCCCTTGGCAGACGGGTGGACCACAGAGCTCCTGTCACATGCAGCCCACTGCCCCCCCGGGCGTGCAGCCTGCCAGCTGACGGCCCGCCTGCAGGGCAGCACAGACGTCTCCCCCGCCCGGCAGCGGGCAACAAAGGGACGTACAAAGGAATGGGCGCCCTGCCCCCCACAGCCCCCAGGCCGGCTCACCTGGCCCATATGGCTCAGCGCAGGGACGTAGGAAGCGTCCCTGCACGCTGGCTCTGGCTGTCCAGGGGGCC